CTGCCAATATCCTAAACCCCCTCCTTTAAAGTGCAGGCATTGTACTTCCCATTACCAGGACTCAAGTCTGGCTAACAGGTTTCCCTGAATCCCTTCACAATATATTACCTTGCTCACACTCCAACAGCTTGTCAGGTCCCAAAAAACATTCATCTCCATTCACTCCTATCTACCACGCTTACGAACGCTTGCTGGAAGTCCAAGTCCCTCGCCCACAAAACCTCCTTTACCCCCTCCAACTTCACCCTGTCTTCCTTCCTTATCAGATTTATACTCTTTCCAAGTTATTTTACTTTGTTCCATTCGCTCTAAATGACCAAACCACCTCAACATACCCTTCCCCCTCAGGAAGGTTCCTTGATGTTGGTAAGGGGCTGTTGATTTAGGGAATTGGATCTGTGCTCCAGTTCCCCAAATTAAGCCTGAATGCCTTCCACATCCCTCCCCCCAGGTTTAGCGCTTCCCCTTGACTATAATAATAATAATAACATACCCTCTTCAGTCCTTTAATACTTTTAGTAACTCCACACCTCCTAATTCTCTGCATAATACTTACACCACACATTACCCTTAGACACGACTTCTACAATGCCTCCAGCCCCCTCTCGCTGCAGCATTTACAATCAATGCTTTACACCCATTTAAGAGTATTGGTACCACTATACTCTCGTACATTCCCTTCTTTGCCCAAGTGGATAATGTTCTTTGTCACCACAGATACTCCAATGCACCACTCACCTTTTTTCCTTCATCAATTCTATGGTTTACCTCATCCTTCATAAACCCATCTGCTAACTCAACTCCTAAATACGTATCTGAAAACATTCTCTTCTTTCATACTCCCTCCTTCCAGTGTGATATCCAATTTTTCATTAAATCGTTTGATACCCTCATCACGTTATTCTCATCTGTATTCACTTTCAACTTTCTACCTTTACACACCCTCCCAAACTAGTCCACTAACCTTTGCAACTTTTCTTTAGAATCTCCCATAAGCACAGTATCATCAGCAAAAAGTAACTGTGTCAACTCCCATTTTGTATTTGATTCCCCATAATTTAATCCCACCCCTCTTCCCCACACCCTAGCATTGACTTCTTTTACAACCATGGTGACATTACACATCCCTGTCTAAGACCTAATTTTAATGGGAAGTAATCTCCCTGTCTCCTACACACCCTAACCTGAGCCTCACTATCCTCATAAAAACTCTTTACAGCATTTAGCAACTTCGTACCTATTCCATACACTTGCAACATCTGCCACATTTCTCCCCTATCCACTCTATCATATGCCTTTTCTAAATCCATAAATGCAATGAAAGCTTTCCTACCTTAATCTAAATACTGTTCACATATATGCGTCAATGTAAACACCTGATCTACACATCCCCTACCCATTCTAAAACCTCCTTGCTCATCTGCAGTCCTACATTCTGTCTTGCCTCTAATTCTTTCAATAATAACCTATAACCTTACCATATACAGTGGACCCCCGGTATTTGATTTTAATCCGTTCCTGAGAGCTCATCGAATACCGATAATATCGAAAACCGAATCAATTTTCCTCATAAGAAATAATGGAAATCAAATTAATCCGTGCAAGACACCCAAAAGTATGAAAAAAAAAAAATTTACTACATGGAATATTAAGTTTAATGCAATAAAATAATTGACACTTACCTTTAATGAAGATCTGGTGAAGATTGATGGGATGGGAGGAGGGGAGAGGTGTTAGTGTTTAGAAGGGGAATCCCCTTCCATTAGGACTTGAGCTAGCAAGTCCTTTTCCGGGGTTACTTCCCTTCTTTTAATACCACTAGGACCAGCTTCAGAGTCACTGGATTTCTGTCGCACAACATATCTGTCCATAGTGGCCTGTACCTCCCGTTCCTTTATGACATCCCTAAAGTGTTTCACAACATTGTTAGTGTAATAGTCACCAGCACGGCTTGCAATAGCTGTGTTAGGGTGATTGTCATCAAAAAAGGTTTGCACTTTAAGCCACATTGCACACATTTCCTTAATCTTTGAAGTAGGCAACTTCTTCAATTTCTCTATCCCCTCCTCTGAAGCAGTTTCCTCAGGTCTGCCCTCTTGCTGTTCAAGATGATCTATGAGCTCATCATGGGTTAGTTCTTCACTGTCCTCCTCCACCAACTCTTCCACATCCTCCCCACTAACCTCCAACCCAAAGGACTTCCCCACTGCCACAATGGATTCCTCAACTGGCATACGATTCTCAGGGTTAGCCTCAAATCCTTCAAAATCCCTTTTGTCTACACATTCTGGCCACAGTTTTTTCCAAGCAGAGTTCAAGGTCCTCTTAGTCACTCCCTCCCAAGCCATACCTATCAGGTTTATACAATTGAGGATATTAAAGTGATCCTTCCAAAACTCTTTTAGAGTCAGTTGAGTTTCTGTGGTCACTATAAAGCACTTTTGAAACATAGCTTTTGTGTACAGTTTCTTGAAGTTGGAAATGACCTGCTGGTCCATGGGCTGCAGGAGAGGAGTGGTATTAGGAGGCAAAAACTTGACCTTAATGAAGCTCATGTCCCCAGAAAGTCACTCTGACAAGTCTGTAGGATGACCAGGGACATTGTCTAATACCAGGAGGCACTTAAGGTCTAATTTCTTTTCAGTTAGGTAATTTTTCACAGTGGGGGCAAATGCATGGTGTAACCAGTCATAGAAAAAGTCCCTAGTGACCCATGCCTTACTGTTTGCCCTCCACAGCACACACAAATTAGCCTTGAGGACATTGTTTTTCCTGAACACTCTGGGAGTTTCAGTGATACACCAATAAAGGCTTCACTTTGCAATCACCACTAGCATTGGCACACATCAACAGAGTAAGCCTGTCTTTCATAGGCTTATGTCCTGGGGGGTGCCTTTTCCTCCTGAGTAATGTAGGTCCTGCTTGGCATTTTCTTCCAAAACAGGCCTGTTTCGTCGCAATTAAACACTTGTTCAGGTTTCAGTCCTTCACTGTCTATGTAATCCTTGAATTCCTTCACATATTTTTCAGCTGCTTTTTGGTCCGAACTGGCAGCCTCACCATGCCTAATCACACTATGTATGCCACTACGATTCTTAAATCTTTCAAACCAACCTTTGCTGGCCTTAAATTCACTCACATCACCACTATTTGCAGGCAATTTCTTTACCAAATTGTCATGCAACTGCTTAGCCTTTTCACAAATGATCGCTTGAGAGATGCTATCTCCTGCTATCTGTTTTTCATTTATCCACACCAATAATAATCTCTCAGCATTTTCTAACACTTGCGGTCGCTGTTTCGTAATCACAGTTGCACCTTTTGCAAGAACAGCTTCCTTGATTGCCGTTTTCCTGGTCACTATAGTAGAGATGGTTGATTGGGGTTTATTATACAACCTAACCAGCTCCGACACACGCACTCCACTTTCGTACTTTGCAATTATCTCTTTCTTCATTTCATAAGTCATTAGCGACTTTTTTCTTGAAGGGTTGGCACTAGAAGCTTTCTTGGGGCCCATTGTGACTTATTTTGCAGAAACAAGCACCAAACACAGTGATAATATGGAATGTATCCTTAGATGCACGCACACTGGCATACAAGAGGCAGTTCAGGCCACATGTGGACACGTCTCGTACGAATTGTATCGAATAACGAGGAAAATTTTTTGCGATATACTGTAATGTATCGAATACCGGGGGTCCACTGTACTTGACCTGGTACACTCAGTAAATTTATTCCACTTTAAATTTTACAATCTCTCTTGTCCCCCTTCCCTTTATATAAAGGAACTATACACACACTCTGCCAAATCCCTAGGTACCTTCCTTCATACATTTATTAAACAAAAATACCAATCTCTCCAACACTGTATCTCCCCCTGCTCTGAACATTTCTGTCATGATCCCATCAATTCCAGCTGCTTTACCCTCTTTCATTCTACATAATGCCTCATGCCCACATCCTGATCTTCTTCACTCCTAGTCAGTGCATGAAATTACTGTCTCCCTTTCTTCATCGACATTTAAGAGTTCCACAAAATATTCCTGCCATCTACCCAATACCTCTAGCTCCCCATCTGCTAAGTCCCTATTCTGTTTTTAACTGACAAATCCATTCATTCCCTAGAGTTTCTTAACTAGTTTATTTCACTCCAATTTTTTTTTTCTTATTCTCTGCAAAATTTCTTTACAGTGCTTTCCCATTTGCTCTCCTTCTGCACACTCACCACTCTCTTCACCTTTCTTTTACTCTCCATATACTCTGCCCTTCTTGTATCACTTCTGTTTTGAAAAAACCTCTCATAAGCTACCTTTGTCTCTATTACTGCACTCTTTGCCTCACCATTCCACCACCCACCCTCCTATAGCCACAAACTTCTACCCAACATTTTAATACTATTCCATCCATCTTCATAACCCCCCCCCCCCCCAGTAGTTGCTTATATCTCACCCTAACTTCCTCCTCCCTTAGTTTATAAACTTTCACCTCTCTCTCACTTACTGTTGAAATATTCCTTTTGTCCTATCTATAGCTCCCAACTCAAACAATTATGTAAGTGTATTTTTGGAGGTCTGAAGCAGACTAATCTAATTTACATTATTCCTTATGGGAACGAATTAAGTTCGCAACTTGAGGTACCACTGTATCATATTTATCTCCATGGGGAAATGGAACAGAATTCTTCCTCCATAATCCATGCGTGTTGTAAGAGGCAACTAAAATGCAGGGAGCAAGGAGCTAGTAACTCCTCTCTATATTACTAAATTTAATAGGAGAAGCTATTTTTTTTCCTTTTAGGCCACCCTGCCTCATTGGGATATGGCCAGTTTACTGAAAGAAGAAAAATGAAAGTTTTTCTTTTTAGGTCACCCCTGCCTCAGTGGGATATGGCCAGTGTTTTGAAAAAAAATATTTATCATTTTGCATTTTATTACTGTGTTCTCATTTTCTTGTAGCCCTTTTTGATTAAAAAATAATTTGTGCATTTTTTCTTCTAGGTGTTTGTTCTCAACGGATATGAAGATTTAGATCAGTTTCGAGACTTGGAGAAAGCTGATCTAGACTGTCTTGGTATTACCGATCCTGAGACTTGTGCCAAACTGTTAACTGCTGTGGCATTGCTACATGATGCTGACTCTGAGCCCGAGCCTGACCCTCCAGAAACTTTAGAGACCACTGAGGCTGCGCTCCGTCGTGGTGACCATGGTCGTGATTCAGGTTGCTACACTGATCACCGTAGCACTCACACTGCAGTATTAGATGAAAATAATCTAGACACACGACAGTCGACTCCATCTACAGACAATTCCTCAGGTTACCATTCTCGTGGTGCCTACAATATACCTGTAGGGGAAGCCACACAAACATCACGTGATGACCCACAGAGTTCTGCTCTTGAGTCCCCACCTTCAGAGTCGACTGCTACAGGTGCTGCTGGCACTCTACCTTCTTCTACCCAAGCTGAATCTCATTCCTACCGTGCCCATCTTGCTACCGTCCTGCCTTCCAGCCCCCGCTCTCAGTCCCATCACAGTCATGCAGGGGAACATAAAAAGAGGCAAGATCCCCATGTGGATTTTGAGGCAAAGTTTGTTACAGCACGAAGTGTATTTGAAAAAGATTTAGTGAGGCGTGAGGTACCCTTCACTGTACGTGCTCAGAAACGTGGCATGGGCTCTTCTCACTCCTTAACGGGTGAAACAGAAGACGGAGAAAAATACGATACCAGTGTAGCTGCTTCAGAGTTCCCCTCACCATGAGAATGTTGTATGTGAATTCTATACAATACCGACAAGATGAAGAATTAGGCATGTGCAACATCTGGGTACCTTTAATTGTAGGCATTTTGTCATCCAGTGGCTTTATCGATACAATTCAAGGACATAATGTGAAGACTATAGAACTATATACACCAGACGAGGTAATCAGTCCCTCAGCCTTGGAGTTGGTGATGAGCACCAGTCTTGAAGAATATGAAGCACAGGCAGGAAGATTGATCCTGCTTGTGCTTCAGATTCTTCAAGACTGTGGTGCTCATCACCAACTCCAAGGCTGAGGGACTGATTACCTCATCTTTTGTATATAGTTCTACAGTCTTCACATTATGTCCTTGAATTGTATTGATAAAGCTACTGGATAGCAAAATATCTACAAATAAAGATACCCAGATGTTGCACGTGTGTCTGACTCACCATGAGAAATTTGAGAGAAACACTAATGTACCCCAGATCCCCTGGTTACTATTCCATTTATAGTCTGCAGTTAAAAACCCTTTAATCTTGTACTCTAATATTTGTTAATATTTTTCGTGGAGTAATTTACTCCATTTTTATAAATTAAGTATTCTGGGTGTTGCAGTATGTCATTCCCCTGCATTCTGAAATATAATCAAATCATTGCATATTATAAATTGTTGGTCCAATTTATTTTCTTCTCTGCTGGCATTTCAGGGATTTATACTATTTAAAACCTTATGAATGCAGGGAGAGGAAGTTATAGAAAATGGAAGTTTCAACACAATCAGAATTTTTTGTTGTAGGTCAACCTTTTGATAGTGCATTATAACATGTGGAACCTACCTGAAATCACATGAGATTCCCCTGTGTAGATAGTATTGTACTGTGAGGTAGCTAGTGATGTGAGAGGATCAGTATTTACTCGTTCACAAGTCTCCCAAGTAATGAGTGGTGCCGTGCAGTTCCTGTTCTTAGTCTCGAGGGTTTTCCTAGATGTTCCTGCTATAGGAGAAATGGCTGGGAGTATTATACAGCCAACTTGTATAGCTTGTCTTTCATTTGTCTCTAACACACAATTATATCAAGTACTACCATATCATTTTATATACAGTATATATATATAATATATATATATCTATAGCATATATATGTATGTATATATATATATGCTATAGAAGTATCAGATGCTGTAATAAATATTGTAATCAATTCTGGACGTCTATTATACTTACACAGAAGTAGACTTAATATATGAAAGTGCAAATTAAAAAGAAATCAAACATCTCCCTGTTGTGATCTAAGATGAATATTCTACATGAAACTTAGAAATATATAGAAGACTTGTTATTCAGAAATGAATTTTATAATACTGTGAAGAAAAATGTTGATCACTATTAAATTGCCCTTTCCGTGAACTTTTGTATTTTCATAGATAAAATAAAATTATATACAGTATTGTGTATTAAATTAGTTTTGCAGTTTAATCAAAATGTCAAATTCATTTGTTTTATTTCGTAATTATTTTCATTTAATTGTTTAGTAAAAAGCATTGAAGCAAAGTCTTATAATGACTCTAATCAAAAAACGTTTAAATGGTAGGTTAAATAATTTTATAATATGTTGCTGCTGAGGACAGAGGAGCCTTGAAACTGTTGTACATGTTTTGAAACACCAGAAGACTCTTAAAACTTAACTGAAACTCGTAGCAGTTACGAGCAATTTCCTCACATAACGGGTGGAGGCTGTCCTTGGCACAATATGCCGTGATAAGCTTGGCTGTGTACTGAGCAAACAGGTATGCCAGCAAACCTTTCAGCATTTAGCCTTGTGATGTCAAATTTTGTAAAAATTATTTATAGTCACTTAAGATTGTATGTATTTTAATTTATGAACCTCCTTTTATATAATATGTAATGACAGTGATGCTTCTTGCTCACTGTCATAAACGGAAACTCATTTTTATTTATTGTGTAGTCTTGTAATTATTTTTCAAGGTGAAGAGTTTTAGTTGTGGATTTCAATTGAGTTTTATGTTTCAAATGATGCGCTTCCTACAAGGTCACATTACAATATCTTTGCAGTCGTATGCTAAATAGTGACATTTTACTCTTCCAACTTTTGTATTGTACAGAAGTATGTCATCACTATTTGTAAATAGTCTTATATTAAAATTATAGGTAAATTGATGTGTATCAGTCTTCACTTGTCTGTAGTGGAATGTATTGTATTGTGTCCATGTGTCTGATCCTGACCATGTGCACACTTCTCTTTGATGGGTAAATGAGGTCTTCCACATATGTAGTATAGAACAACTGATAATACCAGTGGTTATATATTAATGGTATACAAAACTAACAACTTGATCTATATTTATCAAAGTTGATGGAATTAACACCTTTCAAGGCTAAGGGCCTGATCATCTCAAACTGCTTCATGTCTTACACTGTTGCTAGCCTTATTCTTGATGTTTAACTGATGAAGTCACTGGTTGGGGGAATTTGTTTTTTAACACATTGGCTCTCTCCCACTGAGGCAATGTGACCCAAAAAAGACGAAACAGAAGTGTTTTTTTTTTTCAACAAATGAGCCGTATTCCACCGAGGCAGGGTGACCTAAATAGAAAAACAAAAGTTATTACGTATTTTTACATTCAGTAATTTATACAGATGGGGTTGCTATCTGGTTGGAAAAAAAAGGTTCCATTATAGGGAAAGCCAAGTTGTGCACACGTCTTGCCCAGTATGTACTGGTAATAAATCTGACTGAGGGAGCTTACACACACTAAAGTGCTATTGGCTAACTTGCATGTGAGATTTATTATGATTAGGGTGAACAGTGACTTAATGAAAAGTGACATGATCTCCCAACATACTTAAAATTTGAAAGAAGGATGCCTCCTGAAAATGAATTTTATTCTCAATTTGTTAAGGGGTAGGAGAGTTCCAGTGGGGAGAATGAAATGGGATTAGGTCAGGGGTTTCTAATAGAGTTAGAGCAGGAAAAGGAGGAATACAAATGTATGAATTCAAGGATTATGTGGAGTAAAATAAGGGGTGTGAAAAGTGGGTTATAGTAAGTGTTTATGCATCTGGAGAAGAGAGAAGTGTAGAGGAGAGAGAGTTTTGGGAAATGCTGAGCGAGTGCATGAGGAGTTTTGAACCAAGTGATAAAGTGCTTGTTGTTGGGGATCTCAGCACTGAAGTGGGTAAAAATGTTGTGGAGGGAGTAGTAGGTAAATTTGGGGTGCCAGGGGTAAATGAAAATGGGGAGCCATTAATTGAACTATGTGTAGAAAGAGGTTTGGTAATAAGCAATGCATATTTTATGAAAGAAAGGATAAATAAGTATACAAGATATTATATAGCATGTATTATGGGCATATAAAAAAATATATTATTTAGATTTAACCTAGGATTACCCAATAAAGTCAAACATGTGACTTATTTCCATTGAGATACCCGAGTCCCTCATAACCAGTCCCTGCTTGTCTACCTATAAATTTTTAAGTATTTTGAATTTGGGGGATCTGCACCGTCCTGGATTGTGTTAGTAAGTTTATTTAGACACAGATACACATATGTACAATTATCGTAGATAGTGTAAATTACCAAAAGAAACAGTCAGACTTATTTCCCAGTGAAATAATCTATTGTTTTTATTTCAAACACTTGATTTTTTTTTTAAGTTGCTGCTTCAGGATACCTGCAGTTTGCTTCGAGATGGGGAGAGCTTCTTCAGGATACACACAGGAGGGGTTGATTAGTGCTCCTACGTAGCCATGGTGTGGGGGGGATAGTCAAAATTATTATTATTATAATCAAAAAGAAGCGCTAAGCCACAAGGACTGTTAGGTAAGACACATATGCAACGGTTGGGTGTCTTTATTATGAAACGTTTCGCCTACATACTATGGAACAATGCTCTTCTCCAGACTGAGGGACTGACCACCTCAAAACTTTAAGGGTGATGGACTGATTACATCGTCTTCAAGTATCTTCTGCTTCTATCAACTTTTCTGTACTTGACTGAAGAAGCCTACTGTGTAGGCGAAGCGTTTCATAATGGGGATGCCTAGCTGTTGCATGTGTGTCTTGCCTAACAGCCTGTCGGTATTTTATACCATTTTAATGTTCAATCTGTCAGACACTGCAACACAAGGGTATCTTGGTACAGACCTGCAATCAACTTCGACAACTTCCACTAGTGAGAGCGGCTGGATTTGAGAGGGACCTGACCTCTCAACATCTGAGTTCTTACCTCTCCTAGTGGCTTACGTCTCACCTCTTGGCGCTATAAAATGCTCCATCCTGTCACTTCATCTCCATATTGTTTCATACTATGGAACAATGCTCTTCTCCAGACTGAGGGACTGACCACCTCAAAACTTTAAGGGTGATGGACTGATTACATCGTCTTCAAGTATCTTCTGCTTCTATCAACTTTTCTGTACTTGACTGAAGAAGCCTACTGTGTAGGCGAAACGTTTCATAATAAAGATACCTAACTGTTGCATATGTGTCTTACCTAACAACCTGTCGGTATTTTATACCATTTTAATGTTCAATCTGTCAGACACTGCAACACAAGGGTATCTTGGTACAGACCTGCAATCAACTTCGACAACTTCCACTAGTGAGAGCGGCTGGATTTGAGAGGGACCTGACCTCTCAATATCTGAGTTCTTACCTCTCCTAGTGGCTTACGTCTCACCTCTTGGCGCTATAAAATGCTCCATCCTGTCACTTCATCTCCATATTGTTTCATACTATGGAACAATGCTCTTCTCCAGACTGAGGGACTGACCACCTCAAAACTTTAAGGGTGATGGACTGATTACATCGTCTTCAAGTATCTTCTGCTTCTATCATATATATATTCAGTTAAAGAGAGAAATAAAAAAGGGAATTAGAAAAGCAAAAGGAGATTATGAGGTTAAAGTTGCAAGACAATCGAAGACTAACCCAAAAGGATTCTTTCAGGTATACAGAAGTAAGACCAGGGACAGGATAGGCCCACTCAAAAGTTCCTCGGGTCAGCTCACTGACAGTGATAAGGAAATGTGTAGAATTTTTAACACATACTTCCTCTCAGTTTTTACACAGGAGGATACCAGCGATATTCCAGTAATGATAAATTATGTAGAACAGGACGAAAATAAACTGTGCACGATTAGGGTCACAAGTGACATGGTCCTTAGGCAAATAGATAAATTAAAACCTAACAAATCCCCAGGCCCTGATGAACTGTATGCAAGGGTTCTAAAGGAATGTAAAGAGGAGCTTAGCACACCTTTGGCTAATCTTTTCAACATATCACTACAAACTGGCATGGTGCCAGATAAGTGGAAAATGGCAAATGTGATACCTATTTTCAAAACAGGTGACAGGTCCTTAGCTTCGAACTATAGACCAATAAGCCTAACCTCCATAGTGGGAAAATTTATGGAATCAATAATTGCCGAGGCAGTTCGTAGCCACCTTGAAAAGCATAAATTAATCAACGAATCTCAGCATGGTTTTACAAAGGGGCGTTCCTGCCTTACGAATTTATTAACTTTTTTCACTAAGGTATTTGAGGAGGTAGATCATGGTAATGAATATGATATTGTGTATATGGACTTCAGTAAGGCTTTTGACAGGGTCCCACATCAGAGACTATTGAGGAAAATTAAAGCACATGGAATAGGAGGAGAAATTTTTTCCTGGATAGAGGCATGGTTGACAAATAGGCAGCAGAGAGTTTGCATAAATGGGGAGAAATCAGAGTGGGAAGCGTCACGAGCGGTGTTCCACAGGGGTCAGTGTTGGGCCCCCTGCTGTTCACAATCTACATAAACGACATAGATGAGGGCATAAAGAGCGACATCGGCAAGTTTGCCGATGACACCAAAATAAGCCGTCGAATTCATTCTGACGAGGACATTCGAGCACTCCAGGAAGATTTAGCTAAATAGTGACATTTTACTCTTCCACTTTTGTTTTGCAGAAGTATGTCTCACTATTTGTAAATTTTTATTTAAAATTTAGGAAAATTTTGATTGTATCAGTCTTCACTTTCTGTAGTGGAATGTATTGTATTGTGTCCGGGGTTCGATCCTGACCGTGCCACTTTCTTTGAGGGGAAATGAGGCTTCCACATAGAGTATAGAACAACTATAATCCCAGTGGTTATAATTAAATGGTTAAAAAAAACAACAACTTGATCATTTTATCAAAGTTGAGGAAATTAAAAACACCTTTCGGGGCTAAGGCCTGATCATCTCAAACTGTTTTCATGTTTTTACACTGTTGCAGCCTTATTCTTTTTTTAACGATGAAGTCACTGGTGGGGAAATTTGTTTTTAAACACTGGCTCTCCCCCACTGAGGCAATGTGCCCCAAAAAAAGACGAAACAGAAGTTTTTTTTTTTTTTCAAAAAATAGCCTATCCCACCGAGGCAGGGTGACCTAAATAGAAAAAAACAAAAGTTTTGTAATTTTAATTCAGTAATTTTTACGAGGGGGTTTGCTATCCGGGTTTGGGGAAAAAAATTTCCATTATGGAAACCCCAAGTTGTGCAAGCTTGCCCAGTATTAGGTAATAAATCTGACTGGGGAGCTTACACCACTAAAGTGCTATTGGCTAACTTGATGTAGATTTATTAGATTAGGGGAACATGATTAATGAAAATACGATCCCCCAACTATTTAAAAAAATTTAAAGAGGTGCCCCTGAAAATGAATTTTTTTCCCAAATTTTTTTTAAAGGGGTAGGGAGTTCCAGTGGGGAGAATGAAATGGGATTAGGTCAGGGGTTTTAAAGGTTAGAGCAAAAAAGGGAGGATACAAATGTATAATTAAAAGGATTATGTGGATAAAAAAAGGGGGTATGAAAAGGGGGTTAAGTAAGTTTTTTTGCATTGGAGAAAGAGAAGTGGAGGAGAGAGATTTTTGGGGAAATCTGGCGGTTTATGAGGAGTTTTGAACCAATGATAAAGGTTTGGGGTTTGGGGATCTCGCATGAAGTGGGAAAAAAAATTTTGTGGAGGAGATAGGGTAATTTGGGGGTGCCCGGGGAAAAGAAAAGGGGAGCCATTAATTGAACTATGTGTAGAAAGAGGTTTGGTAATAAGCAATGCATATTTTATGAAAGAAAGGATAAATAAGTATACAAGATATTATATAGCATGTAATCAGAGTAGTT